AAAAAAAATAATACAAATAAATTTAAAAAAATAAAAATCAATTGTATTTCCATACACTATCAATAAACAATCTGGAAATGAAATTAAGACAATTGCCTTGACAATAGCAGCAAAAAGAATAAAATGTTTAGGAATAATTTTAACAAAAGGAATGTAAAAGTCATACACTGAAAACTGCAAAACATCATTGAAAAAAATTAAAGACAATCTAATTAAGTAGAAAAGCATCCCGTGCTCATGGATTGGAAGACTTAATATTGTTATGATAACAGCACTTCCTAAATTGATCTACAGATTTAATGCGATTTCTATCAAAATCCCAGCTGGCTTCTTTATAGACATTGATAAACTGATCCTAAAATTCATACGGAAATTCAAGCGACCCAGAGTAGCCAAAACAATCTTGAATAAAAGAAAGTTGGAAGACTGACACTTTGCAATTTAAAAACTTACTGTAAAGCTACAGTAATCAAGACAGTATGGGACTGGCATAGGGACAGACATATAGATAAATGTAATAAAATTGTGGGTCCAAAAATAAACACATACATTTATGGCAAATTGCTTTTTATTGTGGTAAAATATACATAACATAAAATTTACCATTTTAACCACTTTTAAGTGTACGGCTCAGTGGCATTAAGTGCAGACACACTGTTGCACAACCATCACCACTACATATCTCCAGAACTTTGTCATTCCAATATTAAAACTCTGTATGCATTAAACATTAATTCCCCATTCCTCCTTCCCTCCAGCTGCTGGTAACCACTGTTCTCCTTTATGTCTCTATGAATTTGACTATTTGGGATACCTCATAGAAGAAGAATTATACAATATTTGTCCTCAGTCAACTGACTTTTGATAAAGGTGCCAAGACAGCAAAGGAAAGACAGTCTTTTCAATAAATGGTGTTTGAAAAACTGGATATCCACCTGGGAAGAATAAAGATGGATCCCTACCTAACATCATGTATAAAAATTAACTCTAACTGGATCAAAGACCTAAATGTGGAGCCAAAACTATAAGACTCTTAGAAGAAAACATGGGTGTAAGTCTTTATGACTTTG